CTTCTGATGCTCATTGAATGGGGCTATTTTTACAGGGGTTCTTTTTGGGGTGGTGGTAACCCAACCAATAAATTAGAAAACTGGCTGAACAATAAAACCAATTTATAAAAAGTTCCAGAAGGGGTATCCTAGGAAACGAACAGCGATCTGTGGATCTATCTATCCTCCAGTGTTCAGACAACGGAGGTCTTAGTAGGAAATCATTTGCAGCTTATGCAGATCATGAGAAGGTTTCCAAAAAAAGAACTGTGGAGCTTTAAGGTAGTACCCAGAGAGACTGGCTCAGAGATTCAATACATCTGGTTAGGAACCCCTAAAGTTGGAGCACTGAGTAGGGTGTGAACTCCCATTTTGGTTGGGTTTACATGCCACTCCAGACCACAACATGGTGATTTGGTTTAGAACTCAGTTGTGGTTCTCCAACATAGCTTAAGAGTACCAGATGCCAACAAACCACAATCAAATCCAACTCTGGCTTGGTGTGATGCCAGAATCCAGATACTGTCCTTCATACCCTGTGCCTACCGTTCCCCTAGACCATCCACCTTGGTCTCCTTCTTCCTCCTGGCCCAAAATGGCCAGCTCTCAGCACTCACCACGATGACTTCGGCAAACTCCTTCTGGATCAGCTGTTTCAGCTCTCCCTTGCTCAAGGTACTACAGTCCCCATCATTCTTGGCATACTTCTCAAAAACGCAGATGATGCTGTGTATGTTGCGTAGAAGATGAGACATCTCTCCACACGTTTGAGGCATCCTGGAATGAAAGAACAGAGAGAGGACAAGATGCCTCCTGATGGCCATTTTCCATCTTGGTACCCAAGGCTGACTGATGGTCTATCAGGGCGGGTTTCTTGACCTCCCCACCCTGTCAGCCTCCAAGTCTCCATGGAGATGCTGGACCTTCATCTCAGCTTGCAAAGCTGATGCTTTTTCAAGGAACAATGGCTTTTCTCCCAGGAACAAGGAAAGATTCTAGTCCTCATGGTCCCCAAGAAACTCAGATTGAACTTGGAACAGAGGAAGCTGCAGTCAGCGTCTTCCCACTTTGCCACCTTGTTCTGAAGCCATGCGAAGTTTATCTCAGCCCTGGTTCTTCAGCCACTGCTCCATTCCTTCCTTGCTCAGGCCTGTGAAGAACCTCTATGAGTCCCCCCACCCCTCCCCAGGTTCTGTATCCAAGGAACATTTTCTACATCGACTAATTTTCTCAGCCAGGGCCCCTTTGCGTTTGCCAGGAAAGTATCATAGAATCGAGTACGAAGGGACCTTCGAGGTGATTTAGTCCAACCCCCTCCTCAGTGCAGGATCTACTAGGCTATCTCTGATAGGAGACCACCAAGCCTATTCTCAATTTATCCATAGCAAGCTTCTCCTTCTCCTCCTCCATCTTCTCCTCCATCTTCTCCTCCTTCTCCTTCTCCTTCTCCTCCTCCTCCTCCTTCTCCTCCTCCTCCTCCTTCTCCTCCTCCTTCTCCTCCTCCTTCTCCTTCTCCTTCTCCTCTTCCTCTTCATCCTCCTTCTCCTCCTCCTCCTTTCTACCATACTTG